TGTTTCCAATGCATGCTCTCTGTGGATATTGGTGTGTGAATACAACTTCTATACATTTAATACATCTTCTATAAGGTAGAAAACAGGCAAAAGCACCATTAAAGTGCAATGACTTTTGTTCTTATATTGACCTAAACTTGATTTGAACCAGTGATTTAGAAATAATATGCTCTGTATCCCATTACTAATCTCTTCAGCCACAAGTCCAACCCTTCAGGGATTTTTTTTTTTCACAAAGAGGATGCTAACATATTTTAAAAAACTCACATTTTTTCTCTCAAAATGAAAATTTGAGCATATGCAAAAACACGTTTAGTATTTGGCTAACCTACCCCTCATTACCCAGGAGGGAGAGAATGTAAACACAGGCTTGCATTAGATTGTTCAGTGTGTGTATTCAATCTTTAGAAATATGTTTCAAAGAAAGGAAAGGCATAAACCTCATTAGAAGAGAAACAACAGGGTGGAAAAAAAAAGCTGCCCATGTCAGTTCAAACGCAAGCCCAGATGCTTAAGTTAGTTACACTTTTCAGTTTAAGGCAATGCAAATCCGTTTTCCATTACTGGGGAAGTGGAAAAAGGCATTAAGCCCTTGAAATGGCAACAGTCATGTTCTGTGCTCGGTCAAATAGGAAAAGGTCTAATGTAAGATTTTCTTATTTTTAGTCCATTGTACATTGTATCAAGGCACTGAAGAACAACTATGCAATTATGTAAATAGGGGGATAGATGTTAGAGTAGCACAATAGTTTGTAAGTTAAAATTATTTCTTATTCCTCCTACCCCTTTTCCCTCTTTACACAGAAACAAGCATGCACAAAACATTAATGAAATAAATCAAACATTATGTGAAGCTTATCCACAGGAGCAGATTCTAGATATGAATTGAATCCCTGAACATTAATTTGATCTTCTGCCAAGCGCTAGAGAGGTCTTAAGAATCTGAGTTCATATTGTGAAGGAGAGGTGAAATAAAAAGAGTCCTAATTTTAAATTGTTTTCATTATATAAACATTTGTGGGCCTACTTATGTTCCTTGCTTTTTGAAGAATTGTGATTAAGCTTTAAAATGTATGTTTTTATTTAAAATATAACCAGGGATATTCCATGTTTACATTATAACTTGTTAGCCAGAGGCAGCAGGCAATTGCTACTACTTTCAGTTAATACAATCAGGATTGGGAATGCAAGACAGAGGCTTTTAGGTTTTCCTGCTAAAACAAAGACTCAGTCATTCCCTCATTATGGATCAGACTGGTTATTTCAGCATGTTTGCATCAGAGGTGAATTTTTCCATTGCAACACTCTAATTGACATAGGGGCGTTTTAGTTTCATTTCAGTTTTCTCTGAAGGTAACCAGTAGAGAAACAGAATATGAAACAACACATTTTGTGTAAATTTTGTAAATTCATGGCACCACTGTGCCTAAAGTATCCCCCAAAGAAAGGAGTGTGTTCCTTAGGTCATAAATTCACCTAATCCTTAAAGTAGCCTGAGGTCTATGACAAGTATAGATATAGATGACCTGGGAGATCAGAAAGTTTGCTTTTGCTGCCTCTTGACCATCCATTTGCTCCACTTCACTCCATATCTCTTATTCTAATGTAAATGCTTTGATACTGTGACTAACCATAATCCGCTTAGCGTAGGATCATAAACTATGGTGTGATCCCATGGGAAGTCTGTCATGGCACCACAGCAGTCAAGAAATTCTAGTTGAGTCCTGGGTTTGAAAATACCTTGTGCCATTGCTTCCTTGTAGGCATTAGTTTGTCTTACTGTCTTCTTGGATACCTGATATTTATACCTACCGTATATTCAATATGTATTCTTCTTAAGGAAATTTGAAATGTTACACGGCTTTTGTGGATTTTCCTCACGGTTTTTCATAGCTTGCATGCATTTTAAGTAAATTGTCTCTCTTTTTTCATAGCTTGTGTGCATTTTAATTTAATTGTCTCTCTTTTAAAGTGACACTTTATGTTGACTTTTTTAACCACTGAAAGAACTTTCTGCAATTCTTTGCAAGCCTCTTTAATTCTTGAATGCAATTCTGAAAGAAAGTAAGCACTTTTCACTTAAATATGTCAAAGTTTTACCCAGCTGTTAGCCAGTAAGTCATAAAAAAGATTCCTGTGAGGTAGGCAGTGCATGTTATCTTTTATACATGCAGACATAGCACTGTTGTACCACCTGAAATTCCATCAGACTCCAAGCTCTGCAGTAAGTGACAAATGTGAGACAGGTATATGATTTATAATGGATGAGCTACGCAAGCAAGCTCTGGGAGTTGGATTGGATTTGATGGCAAACAATAATATGACACAACCCCTGCTGTGGATACCCACACCATGAGAGGCAATGCAATCCAGCAGCATGAACAATGGACTGCAGGCATGATACAGAGCCCTAAAACCACCTCTGCAGTACACCTACTTTGAGAAGAATGCCTTTCCCGATCTAACAGTCCTTCTTCCAGTTCCTTATCCGTTTGTTTAGCAACACTACGTTAAACAGTCATACCTCACTAAGGCACTTCAATGCAATTTAAAGCTCAGCATGATGATAGGTTTCAAAGAGGCTTTTTAAAGGAATTATATGGAAACTCAAGAAGTTATTTGAATAATTTTGTGCAGTTGCTGGCAACGAACCTGGAAACTTTTCCAGGAAGTAACTTCAACAAGGTTTTCCTTCAGGGAGTACCTTCCACCCCAGCAAGAATGTCTTCATTTCCAGCACAAAAGTTTCTATAGTAGAGTTATCAATATTCCTGCATTCACCAACATTCAAGTATTGAGCAGTACTGAAGGCAAAGCTTTTCTACTCCTAGATAAGAAGGTTTTGTCTCATCCTGTCCAACTGAACTCATAAGATATAAAATGATCCCTTGTTCCTCTTCATGAGCCATGTGGATTAGAAGTCATTCTTCTGTGGAATGTCATTTAATTCATTTCTCTATTGGAGTCTGTGGATGCAATAAGGGACTGTTATATTTGAGGTCTTGTTTCTGGTTATCAGTAGGTCATCCAGTCTGCTAAGCTATCACAGGTGAAGAAATGGCCTGCACAAAATAAAGAGCTGGTCTAGATTTCTTTTTTCCTCATGGGAATGGGAAGGATCTTTCTGCCTCTGTGTACATACCTACAGATAAAACTGGTGAATAGTTTTCCTTGACATCTGAGATGTTTCATGCTATGGTTAGTATTTGTCTATGCAGTTGCTTTCTTGTATTCAAACCGTCCTATGCCTTAGATTATATTTCCACTTACTACCCTCTTGGCTTTGGGGCATTAGGTACAAGTTCTCATCAAGAAATTGATGGGAGTGGACCCTTACTTCTCCAGGGTGATTTCTTTTGCATGAGATACTATGCATGTTTTTAATCTGATGGTCACTCTCTTTTATGTTGAAACACAAAACTTCTGATGGAACTTTCCTGATGGAAATATATTGGTGTTACAGGTCCTCCTTCTCTGCATTATTCAGGTTCCTTGTTGAAGTCACATACACATGGCCATAATTTTTGTAAAGGCATATTTGTATTTTGATTCCCACATCTATTGAAAGAAAATTTAGAGCAGCTATGAGTATAAGAATGGATAACCAACAGCTCTTCCTATCAAGCCTCACACTTTTTCTTCACACAGCCTTTTCTGGTTTACCCATTCTGCCTCATCTTTCTCCACTTTCTTTTCTTTTTTCTTTTGCTTATTCCAGTTTATGGCTCATTGATTTCATAAGTCGTACCAAGACCTCAGGTTCAACCCCAGGGCACAGACATCTAGAAAGCTGAAATAGGGATGTTGGCATGAAAAGAAAGTGGAGATGACTTGTCTTTATCTGCCAGTCCACAAATAACTTGGTGAACGGAGTTTCTGGCCATGAAATCTGAATGCCATTTTAGAAATAAAAAATTTGAGTCATTCCCAGTTTACTTTGGCTTCTGTGGTTGGAAATCAGAATACAGGGTGGTGTTGGCAAAGCAGTATACAGAGTCAAAAATAGTGTAATGACCTTGCAAGCTGCTCCTCTTGGGATCTTGTAGCTAACTAACACAATCCCTGAGATGTTGATTAAAGTGGGTAAGGCCAGAGACCCAGGTGACTTTTTCAGGGCATAACCCCAGAAAGCATCAGGCTCTTGTGATGCTCTAGCTGCTGCTTGAAACTGCTCTTCCTTAGTGACATCCTTATGACACACTTTCTGCTTTTCTGAATTTAATGAATGCCCGAGTCAATTTGAAAGTGTCTCTGGGAAATAAGGCTTGCTCCTCTGTGCCAGCAGGTTAACATGAGCCACTCATTTCCCAGCCTCATATTTGGAGCACATGCTAGCAAAACACAGCAGGTCTTTACTACCAGGAGTAAGTGAGCATTGGAAGTCACAAGAAGGAATGTATAGCTTTTAGGTGTGAATTATAAGGAGCAGTTCTTATTTCAGAGATACACATATTTGATTGGGCATTTTTGCTACCTAGGCATTTCAACCAAAATTTCACAGCTCAATGTTTTATTTCCTGATACCTGTTGTATAATGACATGACAAAGCTCCTTTCAAAGCATCTTTTATTTTACAATTCTGGCTTTCTCCTCCTTTATATAACAGCACCAGTTCATATTATGAGTTTTTACTATACTGTGTACAGTGACAAGCTGTTGTAGGCACGTAATATTCCCATTGGTTTCGCTGGTAAGCTTGTCTGAGCAAAGACTGTTGGTCAGCTCTGACCCCCATCCTGTGGGCAGACCTATAACCCTTTCAAAGTTTAGTTTCATTGCCCCTAGTGAAGTCAAGCTCTTACCACAGAATTATACTGGCAGAACCACAGGCTATTTTTTATGGGAACAATTTCCTGCCACATCCTGACGTTTGAGGCCACCTGTTCTCAGTGAGCAGTGTGAACGCCAGTGTAACAGAACAAGAATTTAATCCAAATGTCTTTAACACAATAGGTATTACTGAAACTTGCATAACTCCCTGACCTCTCTTCAATTCACAGCTACCTCATCCCTGAACTCCCAGCTTCAACAGCTTCAGCATCTTCAGCAGCTCCAGCACCAACAGCAGCAGCAGCAAAGCCAGCAGCAGCAGCAAAGTCAGCAGGCACAGACTCCACAGCCACCCCAGCAGACCCAGCAGCCACAGCCACAGCCATCAGCACCACCACAGCAGAACCAAACACAGTCCCAGAGCCAGAGCCAACCTCCTCCAGCCCCACAGTCCTCCAGCTCCCCTCAGAAACCCAGCCAGTCACCAGGGCATGGCCTTCCATCTCCTCTTACTTCACCAAATCCACTGCAGGTAGGATGTTACATAAAAATCTCTAATGGTCTAACAACAGCAAGTGCATTCTCTTTCACTGTACTGAGAAATCAAGTGAAGGTTATGCCTTTTGACCACAGAGGCTGAGAAATTCCACCTTGTATTACTTAATCCTTGCAGGCATTCAGGTTAGAACAGCTAAAAGGCCTGATAAGCCAAAAAAGCATACCTAATGATGGTTCTAGGTTGTTGCTTTCTGAGAAGTAAATGTGTTTTGCTCTTAAACTCCATATTGCAAAACCCATAGTAAACTCTCTAATTTTTTCCACAGATTCATCATGTGACATTTGCAAAAGGCATTTTCCTGGCAGTTACCCTTTATGATAACTTAAGGGACAACAATGTTAGCTGTTCATTACCTGTCCTGACTGTCCCTTAAAGAAATAGAGCTTTTGCTGGTGGACATATGAAAGGGATGGATGGGTTATCCCTCCTCTTGAAATCACAGTCCTAATTTTTATCCTGCTAAGAACCAAATACTTCTGCTAAAATTCTCAGTATAGACTCCAAAGCTAACGATGCCAGTTAGTCCCTTTTGTAGATGCTCACTCCAGTGATATGGACATTTTTTAATAGACCAACAGCTATGGTACCCATACTGATGGTTGACTCTGCCCATCTTGAAACTCCTGGGCAGAAACAGAAGAGCTCTGATCCAGGGGTCCTATGTTCTTAGGGTTCGCTGTTCTTGCATTACATGGGTCATGCTATATTCATATTGTGCAAGAATAGTTTGACTGTACCTATAAGTATGATTCTGAACAGCAGGGTAGATTGTGAAGTAAATGGAGTCTCATTCACTAGGCAGTGGAATTGCACTTAGAAACCAGCAAAGCCTCTATTAATTTTATTCTCTAAATTTTGAGACACCACTTTAAATGTTTTATTCGCACTGATGGATTTGGCTCCATTTCCTGCAGAAATAAAACTGCATTAGCTTAATAATTAAACAATCCTTTTTTAGACAATTAAGGGAATTGGTTTACAAGAAACAGTGTTTGCCATGTGGCCAGTGAAACCTGCATTACACTGAGCTTCCACTAAATAGCATCAAATCTGATCTTTTTTAATGGTTTAGATAATAGACATAAAAATCTGCGAGAAATGTGTCCTTGCTTGCTGAGCTTTTTCTTATAGTAGAGCATAATGTTTCTAAAGCTTCTTTTGTGTATTGTCTAAAGGGCTACTTATGCATCACTTAATGCCCAGTCTATCACACTAGTGAGTACTTTGGGACTCCTTTGTATGCAGATTATTGACATACAGAGACACAGATATTTTCAGAGGAGCTTCTGTTACATTTTATTGTCTTGGTACAGCTGTAATGTATGCACACTAACTGTATACACTATATGCCTGCTAAATATTGTGCATTGAAAGTCATTAAGGTTTATGAACAAAGCAAATGCACAAATAAATTATACTTGGGGTAGGGAGGAAGTGTGATTATCTAGACAACATACCTCAAGAGGGTTGTACTAACACTGAATCTGAAGTCTTAGCTCTCATATAGCTTCTGGTCTCATTGTAAATCTCAATGGAATCTGAGTATTTCCACTTGTCATCTGTGATGTACAGGTCAGTAGAAGCACTTTCCACTGTTAGGTTCCCAGGGTCACCTCTCACTTGCAGATGTACAAAAAATATAAGTAAAACCTTGCATGGTAGGTACCAATGACAATGTTTCTACATAGTTACCTTGGCATATCTCTCTCTTTAGTTCACAGTTACCCTTCTGAGAGAAGTCTGGATGTGGCAGACAGCAGAAGTGAAAGGAGAGAACCAAGTGCTCTGAGGCAGTTTTAGTTCAAATGCTATCCCCTAAACTTTGTAGGAATTGGGATTAGCTTTAATGAAAGACACCGGTGAGAGAGGTCTGGCATTCCCCCTGGGCTGAGCTTAGCCAGTACTGGTAAGGCAGCTGCATGACTGGGACACTTTCAGAACAGCAGTAAAGGAATGAGAATTCATTTGCTGTCAGTTCTTTCTAAGCATTAAAGAGTTACTAATAAATTGTGGAATAAGTATTTTTAATGTTCTTTCCTCTTTGATCCTTGTCATGTAAATAGCTATGAAAACCCAAAGTTTGTTCACAAATATGCTGTGTACTGACATCCAGAAAAGAAGCTAGAATTCACAGAATCACAGAGTCCACTAGGCTGGAAAAGAACTCTGAAATCATCGAGTTCAACCTTTGACCCAACACCACCCTGTCAATTAGACCATACCACTAAGTGCCACATCCAGTCTCTTCTTAAATATCTCCACGGACAGTGACTCCACCACCTCCCTGGGCAGCCCATCCCAATGCCCAATTGCCATTTCTGTGAAGAATTTCTTTCTGATGTCTAAACTGAATCTCCCCTGCACAGCTTAAGACCGTGCCCTCTTGTCCTGCTGCTGGTTGCCTGGGAGAAGAGACCGATGCCCACCTGGCTACAGCCTCCTTTCAGGTGGTTGTAGAGAGTGATGAGGTCTCCCCTGAGCCTCCTCTTCTCCAGACTCAACGACCCCAGCTCCCTCAGCCTCTCCTCATAGGACTTGTGTTCGACGCCCTTCACCAGCCTTGTTGCCCTTCTCTGGACCTGCTCCAGCACCTCAATATCCTTCCTGAACTGAGGGGCCCAGAACTGGACACAGCACTCCCAGGTGTGGCCTCACCAGCGCTGAGTAGAGGGCAAGAATCACTTCCCTGGTCCTGTTGGCCACACTGTTCCTGATCCAGGCCAGGATGCCATTGGCCTTCTTGGCCACCTGGGCACACTGCTGGCTCATGTTCAGCTTCCTGTCAATCCAAACTCCCAGGTCCCTTTCTGCCTGGCTGCTCTCCAGCCACTCTGTGCCCAACCTGTAGCGCTGCATGGGGTTGTTGTGGCCAAAGTGCAGGACAGTACTTCATTCAGCACAGAACCTCTGTCCTCATCTTAAGCAATGTGAATGGGGTCATTACTTTGGCCTTCTAGCCATTTCTAAAGCATTTCTGCAGCAAGTGTAATACTTCTCGAGCTTCCCTAAGAAATAATTAAGAACTTGCAGAATGCTCTGTCATATTGCCAAGAACGCTGAGACACTTTAACATGCAAACAAGCGACACTCAGAAATAGTTCCAGAGGAACTGCTGTTGCACTTTATATATGGTTGTTTGAGTACTTTGCTAAATCAGAGCAGTGGTAAGATCTCCTCCATGAAATTTGTCTTTCCATTCTAAATCCTGCAGAGAAAGGCTGTTTTACCCCTGTAAATCTGTCTTGAGGATTGAATCTGAAATAATTTTCTTCTGAACAAACATTTAAAGAAAAAAAAAGGAAGGAGCATGTGTTTGGCAGCAGTTCCTCATAATAGCTGCTTAGAATGTGGGGGGCTTTTAATGTTTAATGCTCTAACTTAAAAATCAATCTAGAACAAAATTCAGAGATATTATGGCCTCTAAGGTAATGTTCTTTATGAAATAGAGTGAAATGGGGTTTGTTTGAAGAATATTAAGGGAATAAAGATCAACCAAGTTTGACAGCTAAAATTTCATTTCTGAATTCTTGATTTTTTCATAGAGGCTTTATCCTCTTACATTATTCAGGATCTGTCTGAAAGATATTAGTTTAAAAAAATGCAGCCTCAAAAAATTGTCGTGGAAAGTTAGTAATTCAGGAGGATGATTGTGTTTGTTTAAAAAAACTCTGAAGGATAACAGCAATTACATCTCAAGGTGTACAGATGCTGTCATGTCTCTCAGAAGGCAAATTAAATGAAAGTGGCTTGCTTAGGTGTACTTGGGTGAGGTACTTTGGTATCTGATCAGAAATTAATAATCCAGTGCAGTGTACACCAGCTAAAAGTCTCAGACTTATTCTTGTCAGATTATTCTATAATACTCTGCTCTAATTTTATCACTATTCTTTACATGGTTCAATGGGCTGGACGGTAGTTACAAAACTCTTTTTTTTAGGGAGTCTTTTAGTAATTGTGTAGAAAGATGTAAAACCACACTTCAGGTTCCAGGACCTGAATTCTTTGTTGTCATCAGTGATTATGCTCCAGATTTACAGTGGTTACCACTGCAGAACAAGAGTCATCACTTATTTGCAGAAGACAACAACCAGAGAAGGATTTTCCAAAGCTGAGCTCCATTTCAGGAAGTGGTAGATCAGGCAAATGATGGAAGACTTTCATCCCTTCATTTTAAAATGATGAAAAAAAAGATAATGATAATCTGATTTTGTCTTTCATTGTGTCAATTGATTGAGACAAAGGAATCCAGAGGTGAAAGATGGGCTAGATCATGACACAAGTTGAAGACTTTGAAACCTTTCCTTCTGGGAAAATAACTTCTCAAAACATGCTTCTCCCGTGAATATTCAGTGTTATTACACGGAAAAATATATGAGTTTTTGAATGGTCAGCGTGTTGTAACTTCAAAGGATAGTTAGCACCTCTTATAGAGTTGCCATTCAGTTAAATCTTTGGACTCATAGAAACTTGATTATACGGTGTATAAAATCAGATATGTCTAAGTACTAAGTAGCCAATTACTCTACTTGACTACCAGAATAAGGCACTTTGTATCAGCACCATATGTTTAACTGGCTCCAAAAAAAGGTTAGTTTCTGGTGCTGACATTCACTGTATGTTTTAGAGATATGGATAAGATGAATGTACGCACAGCCAGACCTGGAAAGGGAGAGCTACACTATAGGAATAGAAGAATTCTCAATGATTTCTACTGTTCTGTTTGTGTGTGAATAGGAACAGACAAACAGGAAATGCCCCAGAGATTTTCTTACTGTAAAATTATTCTGACTGTTTTCAGAACTCTTTCCTGAATAGTCCCTTTTGTCATAGAAGCCTACCTACAATAACTGCAGCTGATGGAAGATGATGAGTGAGAAAAAAAATAACAATAAAAAGAGGGAAGAAGGGAAGTGAGGAGATGACAACAGCACAAAAATCTTCCAAGTAATAGCAAACTCTAAGATAGCAAAACC